TGGATCGACATAAACTTCAAATAATAATAATAATAATAATAATAATAATAATAATAATAATAATAATAATAATAACAACAACAATAATAACAATAATAATGATGATGATGATGATGATAAAGAGAATGATAATGATATGATTTACCGGTGCATGATGTTCCATTTCCATTGTATCCAGGGCTGCATGTGCAGTTATAAGAACCCGCAAAGTTACTACAGAAAGCATTGGCGTCACAGTTATGAGCGTTAGTACTACACTCGTTGATATCTAAAAGGAGGGAAAAAAGGCTATTGTCACGTTACTAGAACCACATGGGGGCAGAACTTGATATGACACCATGATTTATGGCGAATTAAGCAGTAGGATATGTCTAACATTTTCTTTTTTGAGACACCAAATAGGATGTCGCTCCCCGAAACCCCTACAGTGGACGTCAAGGCGTGCAACAGGGGCTTAGTGGTTAGTCCCTCTCGCAAGCTCTTCACCTGTAATAGGTTGTAATGCCGGTTCAACTTGCACATCGTAACAAACTATGTCAAGCAGCTCGGCCTGTAGATCGGGTATTTCATTGTGGCGCTGAATAAGCCTCCACGCTGGCAGATCATCGCGTGATCTACTATCTATTAATATACTGATGATAATAAAAAATATATAATAACAATACTAATAATAATAATAATAATAATAATAATAATAATAATAATGATAATGATATGATTTACCAGTGCATGATGTTCCATTTCCATTGTATCCAGGGCTGCATGTGCAGTTATAAGAACCCGCAAAGTTACTACAGAAAGCATTGGCGTCACAGTTATGAGCGTTAGTATTACACTCGTCAATATCTAAAAGGAGGGAAAAAAGGCTATTGTCACATTACTGTAAACAGATGGGTGGCAGAATTGACATGAAACCATGATTTATGGCGAATTAAGCGGTAGGATACGTCTAACATTTTCTTTTTTGAGACACCAAATAGGATGTCGCTCCCAGAAACCCCTACAGTGGACGTCAAGGCGTGCAACAGGGGCTTAGTGGTTAGCCCCTCTGGCAAGCTCTTAACCTGTAATAGGTTGTAATGCCGGTTCAACTTGCACATCGTAACAAACCATGTCAAGCAGCTCTGCCTGTAGATCGTGTATTTCATTGTGGCGCTAAATAACTAAGCCTCCACGCTGGCAGATCATCGCGTGCTCTACCGTAAACATGCTGCCACAAACGCATACTGACGGATTATCGGGTATCGGCCAATCATATCGAAGCCTCACAGCATCACAAAATTCCCGCTTGTTGAGATCAAAATCCATGTCTTTGAAAGGAATAACTGTAAGCCAGTTGGATGCGTCTTTTTCACAGGCCAGGTCCACGGTTCTCTGTGTCTTGTCTGGCAACATGGCCTTTACCTCCTCAAGCTCTTCTTTTAGCCCATCATCCTTTTCTTTCCGGGTGGCGTATACCAGTTGTTGTACCTCGGCTTCTTCTGGGGTCTCATGGGATTGCTCCTCTATTTTGCTTACAAGTGGAACGCTTACCCTGATAGACGCTGAATACTCTGCATCGCACTGTCAGATGGATTCATTAGCCCAAGACCACCCATACACACCGGCAATGCTACTAGATCGCGCTCTGCCTAAGAGCGCTTACGTGCTATGAGCGATGGTATAAGCACATCCGAGATTGCACGCTCTAAAGGCTGCATTTCCACTGTATCCAGGGCTGCATGTGCAGTTATAAGAACCCTCAAAGTTACTACAGAAAGCATTGGCGTCACAGTTATGAGCGTTAGTACTACACTCGTTAATATCTAAAAGGAGGGAAAAAAAGGCTATTGACACGTTACTGTAAACACATGGATGGCAGAACTTGACATGACACCATGATTTATGGCGAAGTATAAGCAGTAGGATATGTATAACATTTTCGTTTTTGAGACATCAAATAAGATGCAGTAAAAGGAACGACTGATGTCTAATAGACATAAATTTTATCTTGTATGTTTTGTTTTCCAAACAGGGCTCAAAATGACGGCCGGTCAACGGACAATGTCCGGCCCGATAGTGGGCTTGACCGGTCAAACTCTCGTCTGGCCGGTCATTTTGACCGGTCATTTTTGGATGCTTGTCGCTTAATGCGTTTTGCTCTATAACGCTGTAATTCGCTGCTTTCTTTGGATTTTTTTGCTGCTTTGCACTAAACCCTTTAAAGAAAAACGTTCTGCTTTGCTGTGATCAGTAATGCGACCTTCTTTGGGAAAACATACGCTAACAGTTTTTGTCCATCAAACGTTTCACATCTACTTGTAAGAGGATTGTGAAAATCACCTTCGACGGAATTCGGGCCAATCGATTGCTCGTCCTGTACTGTTTCTCTGGGAATAAATTTCAGCGCATCGATTAATTATAATAATTTCTTTATGTCGAACATGATCTCGTTTGCAGACTCGATTCCAGAATTGTCTGATAAAAACTAAGCTAATCGAGAACGAACGTCGCCTATCTC